AGCAAAGGCAGTCAGCCCCAGAGGCTGATCCAGGGTCTCTGCCAGGGCTTGGGGAGTCCCTTCCTCACCGCAGCCAAGGGACTCCAGTCTCCTGGCCAGAAGCCACACACGCTCATCACTCTCTAGACTCTGCCGACACATCTGCCCTCAGAGAGGGCCCAGCCGCCCCACCCTCAGCTCACCCTTCTCCACCACACTCACCTCCCTCTCCATCTCCACTTCATTGCCAAGGTCAGGTGCGCCTCTCGCACCCCCACCTACACACTGTCCCTTCTGAGACACCTGGCTCCCGAGCAAGGCATCGCTGCGTGCGGGGCTCAGGAGGCTCCCCACCACTTCCCTCCGCCACATCTTGGTCTCTCTCACCTTCAAACAGCGGACGTCTCCTCTACCTGGAACATCTCCTCTGTCCTGCGGGCCCTGCTTCCCTTCCTCCCTCCCTTCCCTTTCTGGGCATTTCCTTGAATGCTCAGTTGACACCCGTGCCTTGCATTTTCTCAGACCGGACTGTACACATGAGCCTGGCCCTAGAGACGGGCCTGTTTCTGCGGTTCTGCGAGTTACTCCCAGGTGAACTGCTGCGCTGGCAGAGGCTAAAAGCCCACCTGTGAGGGGAAAACACCTGTTTTCCCCAGAAAACCAGTGATTTTAAAGGAGCACAGATTTTTAAAAAGCACCCAAAACTTAACAAGGCATTCTTCGAGCATCATTCTGAGACAATCTGGGCTCACAATAAGCAAATTACATGAGAAAAATACATAATATAGGCATCCGTATAACAACCAGGAATTTAAAAGTACTTTATGGAACCAGCCAGTGGCACCGCAACAGCACAACACTCTGTGATGTTGTACTCACATGGGAAGGTCCCGGGTTCACATCCCAAGACCTCCCTGTATGTGTCAGGCAAGCAGACCCACGATCCTGGCTGACCGAGGCAGGGGACGGATCTCAGCTCGGGGACTCTGCTGGAGGTGCCCCTCTTTCTCTGAAGTTATAATTTTTTTTAAAGTATTCATTAATAGATGTTAAAGTGTTACCTTTATAAATATTACAACACACACACGAGAAAAGTATCATGGAATGTAACTGCTTTGTTCAAACAGTCTGGCCCCAGCACGGAACTAACATGTACTGAAAGTACAGCTTGTGAGTCAGATGAACTAGGCTGGAATATTCCTCTAATGCTGGGTTAATCAAGCCTGTCCTCAGGGAGTCCTTCTACAAAAACAAACAAACAAACAAAAAAAACCAAACCTGCTTCCAGAGCCACTGTTTGGATTAAATGGGGTAAAGCATGAAAAGACCAGGCTTGGCGGCATGTCAGAACCCCCCCGGAGCTCCTGGGCACCTGCGACCCACCCAGAGATTCGGACTTGATCTGCCTGGACAGAGTCTGGAATCCCGAACTTCCCCAGTAATTCTATTGCCTACAAGGTCAAGAGCTGCTGGACTACCACATGGCAAGCTTCCAGAAGTCAGCTCTTAGTGCAGTTAGCAATATTCTGACCCAGAAAAACGAGAATTCAGGGTTCTGGGTCTACACAACATTAGACGCATTCAAGAAATCAGGCAAAGACAAAGGAGAACTTTAATAATCAGGAACTCTTAAGGAAATAGGTTCAAGGGCTCATAAAAACAAACATCCTTTCCCGTTCCTGGTCTTCTCGGCTAGGAAAAATCAGGACAAATGTTGTTCCCAGGAATAACTGAGGACTCTAAACATCCAGCGTTGACCATAAAGGTCACTCAAGCAGGAGGAGCTGTAAACTGTTGATGCGAATCCCTGGGGCTGAAGCTCTAACCAGCTGCTGTAGAATCGCCTAATGGGCCCTCGTTAGCAAAATATTTATACACTAGACTAAAAATTTCACACATTGAGTTTGCACTTGGCATTAGAGACACCAGCAACTGCCCTTATCACTTCTGTTACACTGTGGTCACCTCCAGAAGATTCTCAGACCCTGAAGAGTTCTAGGTTACAGAAGACCTTCAAAATAAGAGTCCCCCAGGTGAGCAGAAAACTCGGAAAGTAACATTCAGGAAGGGAAAAGGGAGGAAGGCCTGGCAAGGAGAGGCCCTGAGGACAACAGACAGCAAACACATCTGTACTGAATATTTAGCTGGAGACCAAGACGCAAGGTGACATGACTGAATAGAACTCCTCCAGAAGGACAACGGGTCAGCAACCCTTCAACCTTCTTCAGAGTTCTGTTCACAGTCACTCTTGTTTTGAAAGTAGCTTCGTCTCTACTTTTCTTTAAAATATATTGGGTCATTGGAAAAGTTATGACACATTTTTGCATAGAAAAACATTTTTAAAAAAGTCACAACTTTTCTGATGACCCAATAATTATACCAAAGAGACATCATCAAAAATAAGGAATTCAGGGACCAGCAGTTAGGGTAATGGCTATGTCTCTGGATTCCCATGTAGTTGACCACAGTTCGAGTTCTGGACCCAGTGGCTCAGACTCACGCTGGGCACGTGTGTATGCGTGCCCAAGATTCTGAGAGGAGAATGGAGGAGGAGGGATTGCAGCATGGCCCAAGGAGTGATTTCTCGCTTTCTGTCTCTCTGTCTCTCTCTGTCTTTCTGGTGAGTGCACACGCCCTACAGCAAAAACTTCTCAACAAAAAGAAAAAAAAAGGAATTCAGGGCCAGCAGATGGCTTGATGGTTAAGGTACTAGACACTCCCACATGGTCGGTCGACCATGGTTCGAATGCTGGACCTGGTGGCTTTCTTTCTTGCTTTCCCTCTCTCTCTGTGTCAAATTAAAGTAAATGAATGAATAAATAAAATTAAATAAATAATTCTTTTAAAAATATAAAAATAGGGAATTCACAGGCTAGCAGATGGCATAATGGTTACATCGCTAGACTCCCACAGAGCCAACTGGGGTTCGAGCCCTGGACACAGCTGCTTGAAACACACTGGGCACATGCGCCTGTGTGCCCAAAACCCTGAGAGGAGAATGGAAGAGAAGGGACTGCCGCACGGCCACTCCCCCCACCCCAGAGGGTGTTTTCTCACTTTCTGTCTCTCTGTCTCCCCAGAGAGTGTATGTACCCTATAGCAAAAACCTCTCTTGAAATAAATAAATAAATAAATAAATAAGGAATACTAAAGAACAGATGAAAACAAACAATGGTCATCCCTCCTACATGAAATACTGTTCCCTCTCAAAAAAAATTACAAAAAATAAACTGAAAACAAAAATATGAAAGAAAACACGAGTGAAATACGAGGACAGCCACCTCGCGAAAGAGCGTACACTACAGGAAACGTGCTAAACTCAAAGGGAAAGTTACGTGACCCACATTCCAAAGGAAAGATGCCACAGGAATTTAATTAGAAATTTTTAAGAAATAAAATGTTAAGGCCCTTTCCTGTAACATCTATAAACTTTCTCGTTTATCTTCCATACCATACAAATATATAATAAAGTAAAACAAGGATTCAAAGACTGTGATTCTAAGACTTTTTAAACATTTTTTGAAGTGTATTTCTTTCCTCCATGAGTACTCGTGAGCACAAGAGCATGGCCCCTGACACGGTCCTGATGCCGTGATCCACCTCCATCCTCAGTCGGTCCCAGATCATGGGCAAGGATGCACCGGCACACGTAGGGAGGGCTCCCGACTCGAACCAGAAATCTTCTGGAATTGCCTTGCAAAGGGTTGTGTTTTACCGCTGCACCAATGTCCAGCCCCTTCCCTTTTTTTCACATTTCTTTTTTGTAATATAATAACTGTGTGGTATTTTTTTTTAATTTTTTATTTTGGGTTTGCTGTTTCTTTTTATAACTTTTTTTTCTATATTTTAAGATATCTGAAATCACTGTGCACTTACAGTCAATGGTATGTCAGTTTAACTGTCAGTATTCTGGTATTTTTTTTTTTTTGAGAGGTTTTTTTTTTCGCTATAGGGCGCGTGCGCTCGCCAGACAGACAGAGAGAGACAGAGAGACAGCGAGAAATCACCCCCCAGGAGGGATGGCCACGCCGCAATCCCTTCTCCTCCATTCCCCTCTCAGAATCTTGGGCACACACGCACACGCACCCGGCGTGAGTTTTAAGCCACCGGGTCCAGGATGCGAACCGTGGTCGACTACATGGGAGTCCAGCGACATGGCCATTACGCTAACTGCTGGTTCCCTGTATTCTGGTTTTTTTTTTTTTAAGTATACTTCTTCTATAAGCAAAAGAAGCAGATACAAACAGACAGAGACTGACAGAGAGACAGCCACCCTCAATAGGGTCTTTGTGCCCAGTCACAGCCATCCCCACACTCAGCCACCTGGACCGTGCTACAACTGTGCCTATGTGTTCAGGGCGGTGTCAACAAAAATCCAGAGCCTTTCCCTGTGGGTCAGCCTCGCAGAGCATCACTGGCCACTACACGTGGCTGGCCCCATGCCACTGTTTTTTCCTTGTGACTTTTCTTTTTCAGAGGTTCATAAGCAGTGCGTCACACTATCTGTGGCATCGTATCGATGAAACACTCTTCCCGTAGCCAGCAGTGGTATCTATGCACAATACGCTAACAAGAGGCTAACAGTCCAGTCAGGGAGATGGGAGGTATGCATAAGAAGTCGGCTATATAAAAATAATAGTAATCCTTAGCTCCTAGCAAGAGCAAATAAATGCAATAGTCGGAAAGTGCAGAAGAGGTGAAGCAGAGTGTGTTCACACAGTTTCATTCAACTGGTCAAAATAAGGGCTGCACTTTGCTCTGAAGATGGCCAGAATTCAGGAAACTAGGAAACCTGGGCAGGTGCTCCCCTCCGGGAAGAAGAGGAAAAGAAGGATGCTAAAGGAAGAACACAGAGCGCCCATGGGGCCTCGCCAAGGTGCAGAGTGGGGAGTTCCAGGTGCTCCCACCTGGCACAAAGGGAGGCGGGAAGGCTGAGTGGCTGAGGGTTGCATGACAGGGGACCTGAACTGCCGAACTAAGCAGCATGGGCCATGCTGAATAAGCTGGTGTGGCTTCCTCACCATCTGCCCCAGTCATGGCGCAGGCCCCACTCCAGCCAGAACTAGGGGAGACTGGAGTGTGAGACTGGTGTGGGCAGCTCAGGCCTCAGTGGTGCCAAGAAGAAAAGGGCATCTGGAGGGAGACCAGAGACTGAAGGATGCAGACAGGAAAGTCACAGAACAGTTGAGCCATGCTGCCCGAGAGGCCAATGGAGCCCCAGAGAGCAACAGGACTCAGGGGAGGTCACACACACACACACACACACACACACACACACACAAGGCCCAGCCCTCCTCTACAGGGGCCTCAATGACGCCACCATCCTTCCTTCGAACACTGACTCACCTCTCACTATGCCCCAGGACAGCACTGGCTTACTCAGGTTGACTCGGGGATCACAACACAGTGAGAGCCTGTCTTTAAAAAAAAAAAAGAAAAGAAAAGAAAGAAAATAGAGGCCCAACAGGGGCACAGCAGTAAAATGTGACACTCTGTAAGGTGACCCCATATCAGAAGGTTCCTGCTCAAGTCTGAAAACCTCCCTGAGTATGCCTGGCACATGCTTGCCCATGATCTGGGGCTGGCTAAAGGCTGGGGGGTGGATCACAGTACAGTGACCCTGCAGGGGGTATTGTCTCTCTCTCTCTCTCTCTCTCTCTCTACTGGAAGAGATAAATAAAATTAAACACATACACATACATGACCTGAAAGAATGCTCTTAACGTAACAGTAATAATACAGCCAGCTGCAGTGGCACAGTGGGGGGCTCAGCATTAAGTAACGCTGGACACGCATGTGAGGGTCTCAGGTGCAGGTCCAGAGGTCTCCCAGTGCATGCTGGATATGGACATGTGCCCATGGGCTGCTGGGCTGCCTGGGGCTGAGGGGGCCAGTGGCAGCATGCGGACTCTGTTGAAGGTGCTGGCTTCTCTCTCTTTTTCTCTCTCTTGCACGCACAGAAGAAATGAATGGATGAACATAATAATAATCTCAAAGTAAATGAACCTTTTCATAAATATTTTAAAGAATATGGAAAACAACTGATTTTCAACAAAGGTGCCAAGAACATAGAGTGGGGAAAAGAACAGCCTTTCCAAAAAATGATGCAGAGAAAATTGGTATGTCATACAGAAGAAAAAACTGAGCCCCCATCTGTCACCAGTTACAGAAGTCATCTCAAAATGGACCAATGACTTAAATGGAAAATCCAAAATTACAAAACAACTATTAGGTATCAGAGAAGTCATGGTATATTCTTCTATGTGCCAGGCACGGGGCTAGGTGGTGGGGACACAAAGTGAATAAGGCAAAATCTCTGCCTTCAGGAAGCTTCCGATCTAGTTAGGAACAATTATGACACATTGGTCAGTGCTATAAAAGGGATGCATACAGACAAAAGGCATCTAATCAATTCTGGGATTTCTGGAAGGCTTCATAGAGGAGGTGATGCCTGGGCTGAGATTTTTGAGTGAAGAGTAGAATCAGGCAAATGAACAGGAAAAGGGGCATTCCT